GCGATAGAGCTGTATTTGTTCTGCACCTTTATTTAGTATATTTATGGACCCTAAAAGGCCGTAGATTATGTAATGCTTAATTAGGGTTTTTAATTATGAGATGAAATATTTTTCAACTACATAAATAAATGAATTTGTATTTAAATATATTTTAAAAGGTCAGTCGAGTCAAAGACAAATTATCGCAAGGTAATTCCCGTGAAAACTTAATGCCTAGAAAAATCTTGTACATTATTCTTCGGTTATTTTTTTACGATAACAATCAAACAACCATTGCTACTAAGTAAAGATTACTACTATAAAAATTACATTTAATTCTGTTAGTCGGCACCTTGCTTGTATTAAAAAATTTGATAAATTAAATACCAACATAATTATTAGTAAAAAGCTAGAAAGATATTTAATTTTTGACAAAGCACTTTTTTACTATAATTTAAATTACATAACTATATAATTTAGTATAAATACTACGTGTGGGTATGATAAAATTACATCAAAAGTCAAAAATTCAATACTTATTAATTTATTTCGGATACGTCACTAAAAGCAAAAAGTTTCCATTTGTTGAGAGGGACAGTTGTTACCGACGTCTAACAAAATTCACTTGATTACAATATTTCCTAAATCTGCTTTCGTTTTCGTTTTCTTTGATATCTTTGGGTTTTTGGCATAATCTTTTAATCTACGAAAGTTATCTAGATTTAAAGCTAGCAGAGGTACTCAGAGACGTTCATTAAATGTGTAATGGTGAATAAAGGAATTTTAATATAAACAACGAGGCAACAGTTTCGAAATTTGTAACGGATTAGTTAACGACTACTTAATGAATGATTAGGCTATGGAAGACTCTTTAAGCTGAAGTTTGGTTAAATAACTAGCATTTGTTTATTGGTTAAGTAACCTAGAGTTTTAATGAATAAGTTTAGCTTTGTCTGTTTTACTGAATGTATTGTTACTGTGCTATGCAATAATAATTATGGCAACATATTATTGATTATATTCTATTCGGCTTGGTTCTCTCTCGCTACGCAGAGACATTGCGTCTCTTTGCGTTTTTTACAAAGTTTACTCCGGAGAGTGTTCGGAAGAATTGTTTGGGTTGATCCCTCCGGCCTCTTTTCAACACCGTACGAGCCGTACGACCTCTAAATTTCACCAACATCATCTTGATGGTTGGAGGTCTTCCACAGTCCGTTTCACAAGGCATTTTCTTTTGAGAACTAGCGAACTGTGGAATCGACTCCCGGGGGGGTCTTCCCTCAGAGATACGACCTCCAAATGTTTAAAAAGCGAGTCTACTCCTCCCTCAAAGGCCGGCAACGCACCCACAAAATTTATATAAAAAAAAAACATTTGACCTTTAAAATTGTGTGTCGGGAAAGAACAGTGTCTTTTGCGTGTTACGTTATATTACTAATATTTTCGTCCTGTGTTACTTGATAGAAATAAAAACGCAAATAAAGTGGCAATGTGAATAATTTTAACATTAGTTATATTGATTTTAGTCTAAATCTAGTAATATACTAACCTATATATTTTTACTTACTTTCCCCGAGATACAAGCCCTTGTAGTCACAACAAATAATTTCTAATTTATTTTCACTGCATATCACATAACCATGACTCCGCAAAGTAATCTGTACTCATGCAAAGGCCGGATTCCAACATAATTCGGATTGAACAAAGTTCTTTTAATAAAACGCCACAAACAGTACTGTAATGGCGGTCACTCAACATTAGGGCTGGTATTTTTATTAACTAAAATCATTTTAAATTAAACTTTGTGAAGAGATTTCATAGAAAAATTCAGTAGAATAACTAAGGTAGAAGATGTAACGTTGGAAATAAATACACTTAAGTGGACATGGCAAGAGGAACAGAAAAGAGGAGCAACGTACTTGAGCGTATTAAATTGGTGTCAAGGTTTTGAAGGGGGATAGACCAGATTAGGGGAACAGCAGGTGGTACATGAGAGTGGCACATTGCAGACAGAAATGGCAGGATTTGGAGGAGAGCTTTGCCAAATAAGGACACACAGATACCTAGGAATGAATGAGATGATAGAAATAAATATTTTTCATACGATGAAACCAATCATTGAAGCAATCATTTCATTCGGAAGTTGGGGTCTCCAAAATGGCCGTTTTGTAGGCGTCCACAGCTTCTTCAGGTGATAAAAATCTATGACCACGCAATTTATTCTTTATTTTAGGGAAAGTATAGAAATCATTAGGGCTTAGGTCGGGGCTGTACGGCGGATGGTCTAATAATTCTATGTTTTCTTGCTCTAAAAACTCTTTTGTTCTGTGCGCAGTGTGAGAACTCGCATTGTCGTGATGGAGGATGATGCGGCGGTTGCAGTTCTCTTTACGGAGTTCAGAAACGACCTGTGGCAAACAAATGCTAGCATACCATTCTGCATTAACCGTTCTTTGTCCCTCAAGAGGAATAGTCGGAACATGGCCGGTTTTGGAGACAAACGTGGCCACCATTTTTTATGCAACACTCCGTGAACGAACAATTTTCGTGGGCTTTAACTCATTTTCGAACACCCAAACTCGTGACTGGTTTTTTGTTTCGGGTTCGTAAGCGTATATCCAGGATTCGTCACCTGATACGATGTTGTATACAGCATTTGAGGATCCTGCGTGGAATCTTTCGACAGTTCTGACGCACCAAGTAACGCGAGCCGCTTTTTGCTCTTCACAGAGCGAATGCGGTATCCATCGGGAAAACAACTTTTTTACACCTAATTGTTCATGCAAGATTATTTGTATTTGACTCATATAAATGTCTAAAGTTGCCTAAATTTCGCGGTATGTCACATGTCGATCTTCCTCAATCAGCTTACGCACAGCATCAACGTTTTCTTGGGTGACTGCAGTTTTTGGATGACCTTGACGGGGATCATCACTGAGCTTGACACGTCCACGTTGAAATTCAACAAACCAGCGATAGATTGTGGTTTTGGATGGGGCTTCATCACCAAATGCAGAAATCATCCGGTCAACACACTGTTTTTGTGATAAACCACTTCGAAAGTCATAATAAATCATCGCTCTTGAATTTTCTCGAGTCAATTCCATTTTCTCAACGACTAAACATGTTTGACAAAACTTTGTGAAAAGACCGAGAATCTTTTAAAAAAAAAATGGTATTAGATTAAAAAAAAAGGAGTTTTCATTAAAAAAGATTTAAATATCTATATAAAAACAGTGGTATTATTCCATTCCCGATACTTTTAGTGCAGTCTATGTACATTTGAAGGCCCCTATGTCAAGTCGGTTTGGAAATAACTCTACTGGCAGCTGGTTCTACAAAGGGGTAGTGCGCGGCATAATATTCCATAAAAGCGCTGTGTTGTGGAACACATGGGTGGTGTGGTGGAAAAGATGGGATTTCTCATTCAGTAAAAGCAAAGGCTATAATAAGCCAATTTTATCCAATAACTTTTGTTAGCAAACAAGAATAAGAAAATGATCTATAAATACGAGTATTTGAATTATTATTATTCATGTACCATGGTAAAATGTTCTAACAAAGCCCTAACAAAAAGTTTTGGCTGTATTTAAATAACACATTCTCGCTTTGAGATTTCCATACGCCTAGTTTTACTATTTTTATATTTCTTTTCACGTTTTGGGCTTTGTGATGTATTTATTCAAAAGAAGGTATTCTATTTTAGGTTCTTTATTTTTTATATTTATTACCCAAATTTTATTATTTTCTGTCATAACAGACGAGCACTGATATGACGATATGAATGGTGTTGGAACCCCGGTTTTGCACAAATGCAATTAAATCCATAAAATGGATGCAAAAATATGTCTGCTCCATGCACATAACAGTTAAGGGACTCCAGAACCCGACGAAATCGCACCACAAAAAGTCTACGCAAAGGTTTAAAACATGTTAAATTTTCCTGAAGACGTTTTACACGAAGCGCATTAAGCTATTGACTAAGAAATTTATTAGATTAACTAAAACTCGAATTAACCATTGTTATTCATAGATTATATCACAATATCCGACTTATTTATATTGCTTCCAGTATCTTGTAGCTGTGAGGTTATTAGGAGAATGACATCACAAGTCTGGGGTCGTCAAAGTGGTATTAAAATTGCGGGCGAGTCCAATACCACGCAACACTGCCTTGATCTCCGGTTCAGATGTTATTACGAGCCAGATTTATGCATACTCGTCTTATTAACTTTCATACATATTTTAAAGGGATTTTCCATAAATAAATAATGTTAATGTAAATTTTCTTTCTATATATGCATTTAACACTTGCTCAGACAGTGAAGGTGGACATTTTGAGGTCATGCTTCTATACGCTCGCAAAGAACTTTAAACCTGCCTAGTCCCAGAACCAATATTGGCCACGCCTCTTTAAATAGTGTGCTTTACTGCATTTAAGAATAAATTATAACAATTGTGAAATTGTTTTACTTGTCTTATGTCTTGAAGCTTTTTCCATTGCTATGATTATTAGTATTTATGTCGTTTTCTTATGTGTTCTTAATATTGTATTGATAACTACCTAGTCTACCGTTCTGCTGTCATATTTGTAAATGTATTCTTCCTCAGTGAAATTGTTCTAGGACATATCAAATACTCTAACTTTATATTTCATTTCCTATTTTTGTTTCTTCTTACTACAAAATACAACACAACAATTGAAGTGTCTCTGGCTCCTACGCCAAGTAGATAAAGCAAAACCAAACCGCAATAGGTACATATGCAATTTATAGTTCAAACCGAAAAGTGATGTACAGCTATTAGAGTATAATTATGACTATTAATGAGAAAAATCGAGTCTTCAAAAGTACAAAAAGTGCTAGACTTGGTAATATATTTAAAGAACAAAGAATTACGTTAAAATTTGCTGGAAGATCCTAAATATATGAAATGTGTTTCTAAAATCTAAACATTATTCAATAAAAATTGATTCATCAACTTATTCATGCTTACGAAAGTTCAAACAACCATTGACTTACCATAATTATTACAAATGAGATGTATCCTATGCGAGTCGTGGCGGCAGTCTTTCATTTCCCGAAGCAAGCCCCCCTCCTTTCTTTGAAAGGCGCGATACGATTGTGCAACTCCATGTAATAAAGAACCCTGTCCGCCCAAAAGAGCGCTCGGCGTTAGGGCGTGAGGCCGCCCAACGCGCGACGATCCAGTTGTTTGACTCTTGTTGACGACTCTTTATTAAAAATGAATTACGACTTAATATATTATATACTAATGTTACCAAGTTGAAGATTTTGTTTGGTTTCCTGAGTGAGTAGCACTCACTGACTGACAAAATACACCTAAAAAGGCTAACCTCTAATTTATAACATACCTGAAATATTGTTTTCTATCATAAAAGTGCTAAAAAACTTTAATAGCTAACATAGTATGAAAAAGTAGCTTGGTACGAAAGACACCAAATAATACACCATAATTAAATTGCTCGAGTCAAATTCACATTATTATTGTCACTATACTCTTCCGTTGTACTTGTTTTTTTTTTCATGAAACTGTGGAAAACACCATCAAAGTTGTGGTTTGGCGACGCCATATTGACAGTTTGAAGAGTTTCGTTTCGAGTTTGAGAGTGGTAGAAAGTGAAATTAAATTTAAATTAACAGTCAACAGCCTAGCAAGTAATGAAACGTCATCGATCCAAGTCATTTGCCTAGCTATTTGATCAACTGGCTGACCATCTTTTAGGCCTAGTTAAACGGCTAGGCTGTAAATTGTTAATTTTTGATTTTTTTTAATTAAGCTAGTTGGCTGCGACATATATATTAAAGAGGTTAAAGAATATTGGTGCTACGATAATAAATATAAACTTACGTATATCCAAGCATGGAACAGATTTCAGAGGCCGTATGGTGGTCTAAAGGGGCTGCTGCGAGGCAGGCTGGGAACCAGGACTGGTTGGCAGCGCGGTACACCTGTACTTCGCCGGAACCCACGTCTCCATTTGACTCACTCAGACGCACTGTATCAATATCCCTTTATTACTATACCTTTATTAAAAATGTTATACGTAAACTGTATACTGTGTTAATATATCTAATATTATATAGTACATTAATTAAGTAATTAACATTTTTCTAATCTAAGGGTCATTAATTTGAACTTTGATAATTACTAAACTAATCTAACAATCGTAATCTTCTGATGTTATATCGAGACAATTAAAATTTTTTCAATAGATTTTATGATATAAGTAATAATGTTTAGACACGTTTATTTGTTTTAGTTCTATTCATTCTAAGTATAACGAAAAAGACCTTAAAAATTACAGCTCTTTATCGGGACCATAGCTTTAATATGTGGACTTGATTCATTCAACACGTATGTGATGGTCTAACGTTTATTAATACGAGGGGTGTTCAATAAATAGTGATAATGTGAAACATTCTCCTTGAGAACAAAAAGTACTGGCATATCTAGACATTAGATATAATTATAATAAAAAAGCAATCAATTATCTTTTGTTTCTTTTTTTAATAGAGATGTTCTTTAAACTATGTAAAATGATGTTCGCGCGGTTATAAAATATAGCGACTGCATTGAAAGTTCACTATTTTAATGCTTCATTATATAAGTCACAAATAATCAACCGTACGTAGCCTAATACACAATATAAAAGAAAATCATTTTTTCATATTGGTAACTATGTACACTTGTAAACGAGAACGTATGTAAACGAGTACGTATGTAAACGTCAATATGAAAAAACTAATTTTCATTTACTACAAGTTCCCAAATTAAGGGCGAGAACTGGCAAGAACCTCTCCGGCACTCATTTTAATCTCCGAATTATTGGTATAAAAGGAACTTCAACCTTACGATTCACTTAACATATTGAAACACACCTATTATATTTAAATATGCATAGCTATGAATTTTGTTTATTAAACTTACAGCAATTCCGCTCATCCTGTCCCCAAGGGCAGTCCACTTTGCCGTCACAAAGGTGTGTCTGTGAAATGCATCGTTGGTTTCCACAATGGACGTCACCAGAACGTTTGCACACACGGCAGTTGAGTTCATCTGAACGATCGGCGCAGTCAACGTGACCATCACAACGCCAGTCGTGAGGAATGCAACGGTTGACATCACATTGGAATCCGGACTGGCATACTAAAAACAACACTTCTTTTCTAAATAGGATTTTCATAGTTATATAACTACACCCTCTGAGTAAAGACATAATAACGGATGATTCGAAATTCAAAAAACTTCTACATCAATCAATGACATATTTTATCGAGATTAATAGAGCAAAAAGCGGCACAGCCGTACTATCCTTTTCTCGAAATAATTCGGGCCATTTTCAACACCGTATAACTTCATTGTGGATACAATTAGAAGCCTGATTTTCAGTTACCAAGGATGGTATACATACGGTATATTTTAAATTTAATTCAATTTGAAACAGTAGTTAAAGAATTATAATTCTCTTCTCTTAATTTTGTCACTCAAATGTGAACATTTTGCAGTTTTATAAAAAAAAAACTCCTATCGATGGATATGGTGACATAAATTTCCAACCTCCATAAGGCAGATGCATTTTATTTTTATCGTCATATTCTTTTATCATACAGATTAGCGTATATAAGTAGTAGTTCTTTTTATGAGCTTTTAATAGTTTCCCTAAACATTACGTGTAATAGAATTGTACAAGAACTAATTATACGAAAATAAGTAAACTACATTTTACAGCGTATAGTAAACTCACAGTTATTACATAAATTTGAAAACAAGTGTACTAATCACCATATTCAAATCTACATTGAATATTAATAACATTATATCCTCATTCGTGCCCTCATTTACATGTACTCATTACATAATATATTAAATTTATTTTTATATTGACGCATTTTTAGAGGTAGGTAAAGACTACGGATATCTACTTGCTAAAGCTACTTTAATGACATTTACCATGCATGTTCGTTAGTTATGGAAACTTTTGACTTGCCCCTTATCTAGTTCGGTTATGTACGACAATGCCTATGTAGCGATGAAATTTTATTATATATTTATTTGTTTTGCAAGCCCTACAAAATTGATTTCACGTTGAAGCGGTATTTCTACACGATATAATTGTTTTAAGATTAATATAATTTGTATTTGCTAAATAAACAAGAAAAGGTATTTTGAAATTATGAGCGGGAGGAATCATTTTCGTACAAGCTTTTCTTGGTTCTAAAGATGAAACTGACGATATTTTTCATCGTACGACAAAAAGTATTAAAATTTTTACTAATCTATTGGGACACGGGTACGACCTCAGACATGAGTATTCTTTGTTTGATATTGTTTTTTAACTATTACACAAAAATATTTACAATTACCTGGTTTCTCAGCTCTGAACTTTGCCTCTTTAACTTCTCTATTTCCCAGACATACATCTGTATCTGTTGATTCAGGAAAGATTTCACACTGCAGATAATCTGGCATAGACAGACCAAAAACTTCCAGGAAAAACCCGCAACGCCGCATTGTTTCTGCAGGGTCAAATAATTCTTAAATTATAATAATTCTCGATTATATAGAAAAATTACAATTATACATTTTGTTAAGTACTGCTGTTTTTAACTGACTTTATCAATTATAACTGAGATAATCTCAATTATTCTTGTAATTTTTTCCGTATTAAAATAACTACAAACTCCTTAATATATTTAAACCCTAGTTATAGATTGCTCTATATGAAATAATTTAAATGTTACCTTGACAAAGACTTCTGCAAGGCCGTACCATATGCCCCAACGGCCCACACTTCGGGACAAACAGTGAACACAGGAACAGCGCCGTGAGTTCGTAGCAACGGACATCGACTACTGCATCATAGATCTCCAAATCCTAATAAAGAAGGTAGACAAAATGACCGCTTTTGATTTCATATTGAGTAGAAAACTACATTTTATAACTAAACTGGAATCTTTTACATCTAACAAAAGTGTCAAATTTTATTCAAATTAATCAAAATATTATTTATTCATGTAGGTAATTTATTGTACGCTTATGAAAATATAATAAATCAGTGGCGCTACAACCTTTTTAGGTCTGTATTTCCCGTATCTCAGGAGCTTTTGTAAAGACTCACTCCGAAACTAAAAAAATATAACTTATTTTTGCGACCGTTTTTGGTTTTGCTATGCCGTCGATTGAAGTTAAATTTTGATGCTTCTGTTTTTTTTTAAAGTAAGATGCATGTTGTGTATTTGTGCAACTGCTTAATGTTGTAATTAAGTGTCAATGTAAAGTTAGTTAGCTTAACAAATGATTTTGTTCTAACTTAGTTTGTTTATAAACACTGAAATTAGTCTGAAAAATAGGGTTTTAATTTATTCTTCCTTTTCCACACAAAAACACTAGTATACTAACTTATAAGAAACTTATTGCTTCAAATCAAGAATTCACTTATTCCGCTCTTGTTTAACAACAAATAGTTTTGTAGAAAAGTCGTTTATATCACTAATAGATCACGTTAACGTATAAACAGACATAATATACATTCGCTGAACAAAACCACACGTAATTTAGTCATCAAAGCTTCCTAACACGAGACAAGCATCTTACATAGATTCTCTATTAAGCTATGCACTAGGACCATAAATATTCCTTTGTTGTTGGCGCTGTAATGTCACGCTCTGCGCTATTGTTGGTAGACAAGGATTGATTCCTTCTTAGATTAAGCGGCGCGCACCTGTGGCGGGAAACGTGCGCTGGATATTAGCCAGAAAAGATGCTAATTTGCAAAGTAGATCATGCGTTTTTATATTTATTAAAATGGGCGTATAAACTGAGCTCAAGAAGATGTTTATTAAGGTAGCCACTAGCAATCTAAACGTATAATCAGAAAAAGGCCTACCATGGGTGAATTTTAGTGTGTCTGTGCGAACGTGTGAATTTTGGTGTGTCTGTGCGTACGTGTGTGTGTGTGTGTTTGTGTATGAGAGAGTAAGTGTGACTTGTTATTTAATATTCTGTTAGTACATAACTCCCGTGAGAGGCTATAAAACTTTATTGTATGTGTAATGAGCAAAAAGGCATTTGCTCTATAAATAAATGAACTATAGAGAGTACTAGATTAAATAAATACGGACATAATGGGGGACATACTTTTTGAATCAAAACAATCGATTACACTTGAATATCAGTACCAGCTCGTCCAGTCTTGTTCTTGCCAACACCTACAGGTATTGTAAAACAAAAAACGTACGACTTAGATTTGTTTAATATAATCTATAGTCCAATCAACAGTTATACGACAAGACCCGTTGCAATCACATTAAAACGTAATGTGTCATAAAGTACATAATTTCGACACGGCCATTTAATGTTTAATTTTGTATGGATTTTTGATAAAAAAAATTAACAATTAAGTGGCTAAAAAACAAGTCTTTCAAGGCAACACATATATAAACCAAATAAAATTTATTTTATTTCTAATACTATCACAATTATACTAGTTATCATTTGTTATATCAATCAAATTAATAAATATTATTCCAGAGTTTACTTGCTACAAACTAATTTTTGATACGTACGTTCGTTTATATTTCACCTTAATTGGCAACGATGTAAATTGCTTAAATGCTTAATTATCTAGCCTTTGTTCGCGCCAAATCGATAGATAATGAAGAAATAATTCTAGCGCAGCTGCGATTTTGGAACAATATATGCTTTTGGCTGTACCGGTTCCGTGGATTAATAACGCTCGTGATGAACAAAGACTACCATCGCCCTAGATTAGATTCACGCTAAAGAATGATTTTTATTGTTTCCTAAATATGCCCTTTTGCCACAAAATATATATATAGGCCCTGTACTAGAAACATAACGATGTATATTCGCGAAGCAGAGTAATGGGGTGAACATGTTTATGTCTGGTACAGGCAAGGTTATTGTTCTTAATAACTGATAAATAACGCATTTGTGCTAAGATCAGTTTGTAAATAATACGAATTCCCTGTCACTGTTTCTTTTTGCCTTGAGATCAAATGTTGACTGCGGTTATATAAATAAAATAATTTGGACATACAGCCAGTCCGCCAGTGAGAGACCAAGGCAACAATGTTTTATTCGCTTTCCGTGTTAATGAATTGTATGATATATATTTGATGTAGCTAACATTGGTGTAGTCTTTTGTTTGAAAGTTGTTACAGATTACATTGTTTTGTTTCATTTAAGAGGATATGTTCTAATCGCCTAATCTGTTTCTGTTATTGTGTATAATAAGGACGTACACTGCTTATATGCTTAACAACATTCGTTTTATTATTTTTCTGCAATGTTTGTCACCATTGTATCTAATCTTATTAATACAACATACATTGTGATAAACAAATGTTAAATAAGATAACTACTTATTAAATCGATTTCTTTTAATATACAAAGTCAACAAATTAAAACCAATTAATAATCCTGATACGACTGAAAAACCAACATTTTCTAAGAAAATATCAATATCGTGTATTAAAAGATATTATTTGATCTGTAAAAAGCCAAAATTCCGATTGAAATTTTTGGAATTTTAATTAAAAGTCTGAAAAAGAAGCCATTTAACTGAGTTGTAACCTTCGTACAGATAATTGATGAGTCAGCTAAGCGGATCGCCACAAATGGCTTCGCCCAATTAATTTGTGTGTATAAGCTGCAAAAATCTCCCTCCCAAGTGCCACCTCACGACTTTTATATGGCTTTTGAAAAACTGTTATTAGGAGTAACGTAGGCAAACACTCATATTAATGTGCATTATTATTAACACAGTACAAAAAATGAATCATATTTATAAGAAGTCACGAAGTGAAGAAGTTGCGATGTGATATATTATATTTCAATATAATAATGAACAATTAAGACTGTTCTATGCAGTTAAAAGTTATTATGGGTGTTCTTTATAGAAGAGAGTTTTATATCAATCATAAAAGGCGATCTTGATTAATAGAAACCTGATCCAAGAATTTCAATACCGATTTCAATATTGAGTTTTTTATCGACAACAACTTTGCGACATCGCCGTAAGCGTTATATTAAAGACTACATCGAAATTGCATACAAAAAAGCTATCGCTATTGTAAGTTTCCGAATACTGGCGGCTAAGTATGTAGCGCTGCTGTCATTACTAATCCATACCAACAGAAGTTCGTCGCGCTAATCTCATTAATGGCACGTTTTGAAAATTTATTTTTAGTTGGATAATCTTTTAATTTATATATGTCATCACATGTTTAGCCGCACAACTTGCAGTTTAGTTTAAATTGTTCTAATAAAATACTGAATTAGTATAGCGATTAACTGAGCAGGTTTAATGAAGCTTTTAATTTAGCTGTTTACGACGAACAGACTCTTCATTATACTAACAAGTGCTATACGTAGTACTTCATAGGAGTTTCTCTGCCTGTTTATTACTTTTTCTTTACTCAGCGACTTAACAAAAAACCTAAATATATTTTTAGAATCACAGAATAAAATTATTTCCTATATTTTTAAGAAGCTCCTGTTTTTTTACATAAAAAGCAATCTTTGCTTACTCAACGTAAGTAAACTTCGTGAATCATACTTCAAGTTTTCATATGACTAGACATTCATATTTGTACTATTTTTTCGTTATAGAATATCGTAATAAGTAATATTTAACATTGCACTATTTTCAGTTTTTCCCAAATCATATATTGCAAGTCTATTATGAAACTTTTTCATATTGTTTCTGTTTACGGAAGATCATTAATTATTATTAAAATAAACTAAGCATTGTTGACATTTTTAACAGTCTAATACATTCTTTCAACAATTCTCGATCACAATAGTTAAAAATTAACAGCAAATGAAAAACTATGATTATGCCAAAATTAGCAAGTAATCATGCGTTCTTATGCACGGTACGTGAATGTTCGTATGACAAACTGCCTCGCCTCATACTACGAGTAATAATCTGTTGTGATGGCAAGAATTTTGACATTTTGTGCAGTTTGTCTTTTAATGCATAGCTTACCTTTAGAGGCCGCGTCCCTAACTACAGTCCTGTTGTATCTAGATTTTTTCGTAGTATTTTAATATCAAGAGCTCAATAGTAACCAAATAAAAACAAAATAATGAGTATCAGGTGTGAACATATAATTCCTTTAAATTCAAGATCCATTCGATATGAAAAACGAAGCTGTTACGTAATTGGATTATCTACAACTTGTTATTAATTAAATCGAAGTCTTGAAGGCTAGTTATGTACGTACTATCGGGTTTCGCTTTCATAATTAGTATTTTCTTAAGCTAGTAGCTTTTAATTTTAATTGGCTTTACTTTAAATTGCGTTGCCTCTTTTTTTATCAATAAAAAAAAGATTGTACGTTTTTGATTGGTTAATATGATGTCTAATCGCAGACATACACGACATTACAACAATCAGACTCGGGCGGACATTGTGAAAGCGATACGTCTTAGTGCCACAAACGACAAAATCAGACATAAACCTACTTGTCAATACAAAAGTAATGGTCTAAAAACGTATGCAACTAAGGTCAAAACAGGCTGTAGCGCCATTTGATAATTATTATTGTACTTTTTATATTATCACGAACCTGTTGGGCGTCCCGTTGTCCAAAGTGGCCAATGTAGTTAGGGAAAACGGTGAAGTTATATGAGACTTTGTGTTGATGGCAGAAGCTCACGATAACAGGGAGGCAGACACCCGGCGCGGGGTTGCGACTTCCGGAAGGCTCTGCGGGAACCGGCCACGTCACCACCGTCGATTTGTTGACCACTTGAGAGACGTACTGGAACAAAAATGTGATGTCATGTATATTATACATTACGTACGCACATGACAGTTGACAACTATAGTCAAAAATACAATAAGTACATAAATCAAACTACATTTAACTAAAAAGTAACAATACAAAGAAGTGATACATAGTTGGAGTGTGTCAGTGTGTGTGTGAACCCTCACCCTATATGTGTGAGTTTGTGAGGCGGGTGATAGAATTTTGCAGCCCTACGCAGGGCTATTAATTTATTTAAACTCACCATAGATACAATTGGACGCGAAGGCATCAAATTTCGTATTGAAAAGTACCATTCTTTATGGACTTCAATGTAAGCTTACTACTCTTGCTTAAAATAATGAAAACTAAACAGCGGTACTATTTACTTTAAGGTCTGGGTTTTCAGACATCTGTATCTGTTTCGTACAGTGGCGTAACAATAGGGTGGCAGGGCTGGCAAAATACCACGGACCCCCGACCCAAGAGGGCCTCTGCCCAAGAGATATTAATATGTTCTATGGATGAATGTGAAGTTCCCCATACGCATTGGGCTAGCATGGGAAGTACAGACCATTCCCTCTCGCCTAAGAGAGGAGGCCTATGGCCATTAGTGGGACATATACAACGTGGAATTGAGTTCGCTGAAAATCTCGAAGTTTATAAAAATTAAACTGAGTACAACGTGGCGATTTTTACTGATAGGGTCCCATCAAAAGAATTTGTCACGGGCCCCAAATGGTAAAGTTACGCCACTGGTTTCGTAATCATGTATTTTTCATAAAAGGCATGTTGCAGCTGTGCTTGTCACACATCGTCGACATTTTGGGTCAAATCTAACTGTAAAGAAATAATAATTATCTGGAAGTAAATTTGACAGTCAATCCCGACTGAGCACTGACAAATATGTCAAACTTTAAACAGAAAAACTTCGTTTCTCCTTAAAGTGATTTTACGCCTACCTTTTTAGTACATACCAACAAGGAACATTTTGCTATGCTACCAGACGTATACTAGACGGTTCGGTTTTCTGGAATTAAAACTTTTTAGGTTTTTCTCTATATAAACCTCAGAGTTCAAGTCATAAGATTTTAATTAACAAATAAAAAATAGGGGGTTGATGGTAGAGGGGTGAAAAGTAAGGTATTTTTGTATGCTGTATCATAAAAAAATAAAAATAAAATTTAGGGGTGGACCACCCTTAACATTTAGGAGTTTGAAAGATAGATAATAGCTGATTCTCAGACTTACTAAATATGCATAAAAATTTCATATGAATCGGTCAAGCCGTTTCGGAACGAACATTGTGACACAAGAATTTTATATAATGCTCCCTTTGCTACAAATTACACCAGGTAAATCCGAAATACTTGGGATAATTTCCGTTTAAATCGACCACATGAAGAATGTTGGCATGCTACGTGCTCGGAATATGTTAATTAATTAATAAAATACTGCGGTCATTTTGTTGTATTGTGATGCCGCTTTTGGCGCGAAAACTAGGTTTTTTCAATTTTATTAATATGGGGGAGGGTAATTAGGTATTGATATAAGTGGCTTAGTTTGGCCAGATTTAAAAAAATTGTTTTCAATAATTGATTTACCGTTACAAGCCAGTAGGAGCATTCTATAGTGATACCGTTGAGTAAGTAACAACTGCGTACCGCGTAGTCCATCAGGTCGTACATATAACGTAATATTTGTCCTGAGCACAAAGTTGCCTGAGCTATAATTCGTTTTTCTGTGGTTTTCTATAGATTTATTTGTATAAAACCTTTATTTAAGTTTCAAAATAATTAATTCAAAATTATTTATTTGTTTAGCTATATATATAATAGAATTCAGATTGAGGCCTCCCTTGTAAATCAGAGACCTGTGACAGGGCCTCTCTCTTCTTTAAATTAACAAAGTTTCAACAAAAAAAAATCACACGATTGATTATAAAACGTACTGCAATAAAAGAAAAAAATAAAATAAAATAAAAAAATATATGAATATATGATGACTGTGTGATGATGATATGAGTGTGATTGTGTGTGTGTGTGTGTGTGTAAAAGACAAAAAAATCCAAATGAAAGTGTACATGAAAAAGATGGATTAATGAAAAACCTATAATGTAGGATTCAACAGTGATTCCGTTTTCTCATATTCTAGTGTACCGAGCCTTTTACATTTGTGGTATGCAAGATTATGCAAGGCAAGGGTTTTATTTAAACTATTGTAGAGATAGGCTGAGCGACTACTGAATTGATTACGTGCAAACATAGTCTTGCAAATTGCGTAGCCAATTCGTTTCTACAGGCCATGGTTGCGACGCCATCTTGCAACGCTAAGAGTTATGGCGGATTCTAAAAATTATGAATTTTTAAACGGAATTCTTATATACACGAATACTTATATACTTATATACACGTCATGTAAAAATTACAACTTAGATACATTTCATAGCCTTATTGCGTCAATTTAAATAATACTAGAACATTTTAGGGAATATAATTTTTGGAACTAATTCTTAATTTGAAGATATTGGTAGAGCGTGACACAATGTTATTCTATTTTTAAATTTTGGTATTGTATTTATCAAATATGTCATTTTAATTCTTTATTCAAATGTTGGCTTCATTTAAAAAAAATATATCTTTGGTATCTAAAGAATGTTTATCAACAAAATCGATAATTAAAATAAATTTCCTAATAATAAAAACTTCATCTCCCTTGTATAAAATATCTTCACATAATATATTAAATTTTCTGAATGACACATTATTTGTGAATACTTGTTAGTGCGACTTGTCAGTTGTCTATTATATTAGGTATTCAAGGAATATATAGAACAACGACCTTTTGAAATTGGACACCTTTCAATTACATGAAAATAAGGGTACCAATAAATTCACTGTAACATTCAACATAAAAGACTCCCAACAATGGAGGGCAAAGTAGCTCATTGATGTTTGAAACAAAGATTTTCGCGAAATAACATCTACATCACGAGACTTTGTGCGCGAGCGGAAAACAAAACAATCGAAGGTTCTAACCGCTAGGGTTACCACCTTAGGATTTAAATTAAAATATATTTTCTATTTGTCAACTGGTAACTGTTAGTGGTTTTTTGGCTTTGGACACAATCTACAAAATATAATGAGTGTAATAAACAGTTATTTCATAACAATATTTTTTGCCAGTTATGGGGTTGCCATCAGGGTAACCCTGACAAATTAATTATCATAGAATAAGCAAATTAGAGAATCCATGGGGCCATTATAGTTTCTCCCTAACATAACATATATATATGATATTAGCTTTATATAAAAATCTTTAATAAATATCTTCAATGTCGAAAAACATCGTTGACCGTCAATCAAATATTTAAACCTTAAACAAAGATCGTAATTAATTGAACCACAAAGCTTAGTTAAGGGGTATTAAATGATACCGCATTGCTTGTAACCGTATTTCTCTTAACTTATATTTGTTTCTCAGTAAATAGTCTTCTTACTTCACCGTCTGTACTCTGTAACTTACAACAACTATTGGGATCCCGACGATATTGAAACTTACAGATACCAGCGCTACTGCGTAGTATTAAGAGTAAAGTTTACCATATAATCCATTTATGTAATTTTAAAAATCGAACGTTGTCATTTGTTTTTAATTGGTCAGCTCTAGTCCAATTACAAGGAAGCGACACGTAATTTGTGTTTGAACAATAAAGTAATTTAATCGTACATAAAACTAAGATCATTTTCAAAATATAATCTCTAGACCCCGATAAATCGTAACTCAGAATCTCAAATATTCAATTCGCTAGGAACTCATATTTCTATTTCCAATGAACACTCGCATTCTGTTCAGAAGCGACGAACCACAATAATTGTCATCTGTTCAAGATTAAAACCTTTGTTTCTGTGAAGAACTTTAAAACTGCATTTAAAATACAATGTCAAATATGCAGATTAAATAGAAAAGGCGAGGAGAATAAGTGACACCAATATTTTAATGAGTGAGTGATCTGTGTGCTCTGTGAGCGTGTGACATTCGAAATTCAAGTTTTTTTACAATTCCTCGAGATTTTTCGAGACAATTTATTTTTAATTCTCTATTCAAATTTTGAATATTTAAATACCTGTACAGCTGGGTTTGCTCTGAAGTAAGCAAATAGTGCCCCCGTAATAACGACTAGTGCGACTGCATTCAGAGCGAGCTGCATCATGCGAAATTTGTGTGCTGAGCTGTTGGTGCTGGTACCTCGCATATCGCGCAACATCTGAAAATTCAATCCGACATTAATTGCTGTAAACATTTCTATAATTAATATTATCTGTCCGAATTCTTGTGCTTTTGCATATGCATTTTATTTTATTCTATTGACATGTTTGTGCTTAGTGCATATTCATTTTTTTACATTTTTTTTTTCTCTACATTACTGACATGTTTTGTGCTTAGTGCATATTCATTTTTTCTTTTTCTACAATACTGATATGTTTTGTGCTTTTGCATACAATATTTTACACTTTGACATGCCAAGTGAATAATGTTTATATTACGATTATATTTTTCAATTTCATTATTTTTTCCTTGCTTTAAGGTACACCTTAAAAATACATTTTGTATCCATTGTAAGTGTAAACATTATGCGGGTATATCATAAACTCTTTTGCTTGATTTATAATTTGATACATATTTTTAGTCTATAGTTATTTTGGGCTGGCGATCTGAGTGAGTTGTTGCCCCACATATTTTTATGGTGCCACTGGCGGTATTGCTGTGTACCGGGTTGTGCAGCTCCCTCAAAAATGGTTGAGCTGCATGAGCTATTCGGGGCATGCTTGCCGTCTGCTGGCACAGGCTTGCTCAGATCGATCTGGTTCTTTCTTCCAAAGACCAGTCCAGTAAATACTCTGCATTTGTTTACACCAATTTATTAATTTATTATTGTATTATCTGGACTATAAAAGAGACTAAGACCCCCGAGTTTGTTTCGACATTTCTTCTCAGGGCAGTCAGTTAGGAAATGTCGACTTCATCTAGTTTAGGATGACATTGTAAAAGTGATTTATATAGTCCTACTTGCAAGAAAAAAAAAAAATTGTACTTTGAGTAGCTCAGGATTCCAAGGATATATTACCGTACATTCTATTGGGTTTATAGCTGCTTGATGAATTATAATAAAAATCTGCATTACTTATGTAATTTTACGTTAATAATAAAATTTTATTTATTGCCAAAAATAGGTACCAACAAACACGTATTCCTTTGGTGTAGTGAGAACAGTATTTCTGGGACCTACTGTGTAGCAATATCGAAAAGTATAAATATAATAAAAGTTAATATAAATTAACAATATTTTATTTTTCTCTATAATTTAGTAGGTTTTCCACAGCGTCGTAGTTAAATGCTTACAATGACAACTCTTTCTATCCTGAACTCGCTTTTGATTATTCTTATGTGCAGTTGAAATTTTTTTACACAATAATAGTGCTAAAATGGTGTAGTTGCCTTTAAATAACGAATAAATTCATTTTAACAGAATATGTGACTCCAAAGTAAGTATTAACTGTGTTGTTTAATGTAACGTAATAAATCCGAATGATTTAGTACGTTCATACAGCACGGTCCACGAAAGAAAATTCACAAACAAAGGAACTACACAATAAATGCAGGTCGAATTGAAAATCTACCCCTTTTAAAGTCAAAATAACAGTGTTTTCAACGACAATTCGAATTCCTATATAATTTATATTATAATTCTATATTTAAATTATTACTCCAAAACGATGTATTCTAGCAGAATGTTCAAAGTTATTTTATGACAGTAATGTCTCTTAAAAGTTATAACAAAATATTGAAATCAATCAATTATTAATATAACGAAATCATAAAAAGGTTTATTTTATTTTGTGTTCTGTATTTTTTTCTGATATTTTATACACTCTATACTTGTTATTGAAGTACCTACACCTTCTGTGTATTTTAATTCCTTTTAATATTCTAAAAGAATGAATGTTATCTTGTCATGCCCATAAGCAACCCCACCCCAGCTCATCACATAATACAACCCGTATTATTTTCCTTCAAAATCTTCGTTATAACGTAACGAAGTTAAACTGCCTACATCCGTAAGTCAACAAAAGGTTGCAAACGGTTGCGTTTGATGCAGGCTTTTGTGAATACTTTATCTTGCCAGACTGAAAACTTAATACAGTTTGGTGACAATTTAAAACTTTTGTATAAATCTTGACATGAACTGGCTTTATAGGTAGAATCTTAACTCCGTAGTCGTCCGAACGATGGTGTGCCAATGATTTATATTTCAATTAAATCTTACACACGGCGGTGTAAGTAATCGGTGGTGTGGGCATAGTGGGTAAACCGGAATTTCTAATACCTAAACTTTAATTGGTGAGATGTTAGGTCAAGACTCGAGGAAAGGGCTTTGTTGTTACCCGTGCCAGCGTGTATGTGATTTAGACGGAGCTGAGGGATTTTGATTTGGGTATAGGTGCTAGCATCTCAGAGCCTCAGTCCTTCACTCTCTCTCAGCTCAGACGTCACAAAGGAATTAACAGATTTCCCTCTTTAAAATAAATATAGTTAATAAAAACTAAAAAACACGCTTTTAAAGCACATCAAACTAAAAAGTGAAAAATAATTCCTAATTTAGGCTGAAAATGGTAATGAACAAAAAATAATATAATAGAAAATGGTAATTTTTTTTAGGTTTTTAGTTTGATGTGCTTTAAAAGCGTGTTTTTTAGTTTTTTTAAACTATATTTATTTTCCACTTTTTAGTCCTAGCAGCAATACGTGTTGTCTCAATTTAATCGTATTGATTTGTGGACTTAAAAAAAATTTCATTGTTTTTTCGAGATAAACCTATGAAATTATTATATTGTCGCTGATTCTTTATAAGTGTACAAAGTTTGAATTAAATCTGTCCGTTTAAAGTGGATCAAAATCGAGTCCGAAGGAGTCGGTTACATACATACATACATACAGGTGAAGCTAATATAAAGCGTGTAAAAAAGGTTAAGATCCGTTAAAGGTCATCATTAATATTAGATTACTTTAAATTATACAATTATTAACTAGAGTTTATTTAGTCGTTATTTTATTTACTGTAACTAAGAATACCAGTCCACTAATGTCATAATATAAATTTTTATTATCTTCCTTATTCATTTAATTATTATTTGATGACTTAATACTTGGCGATTAAAAAGAGTGGCGGAAAGTTTCTTGCCAGTTCTTCTTACCCGCTCTACGCCCTTGACTTGCGAACTGGTAGTAAATGTAAATTTACAATTAATTTTACTTCTTTTTGACGTTCATAAGTGTACTTGTTTACCTATATGAATGTAGATATTTTGAGTTTGAGTTCATTTATTATTTAGAATAAACCTTAAAATGTAATTGAATAAAACTTTCTTACTAAAGTATTTGTAATCGTAACGTTTGTAAAAAAGCAAATTAAAAACCAAGTTAGATCTTGGCAAGAATAAATAGTACCATATGTCTGTATTGTAGTTTTAAAACAGCTGCAGGAGATGAAATCCTTTGAGATAGATCTTTTAGGGGACTTTGTTACTTCCAACTTTTGTACTCGAGCGCGCATTGTGCCAGAGAGAAAAACATACATGAAAACAGTACAGCGGTTCTTTTCAATTAGATTTATAGCATTTATATAAAACCATTTTACTGTCTATTTTTAAAAACCTTAAAAAAATCTGAACCGATAATCGGAGTCACAAAGGTTGTGAATAAATTTACTGAAAATAATATTATATAGGCCATATTGAGATCGCTTAATAACGATAAGGCCACCCGTTGTTTTTTAACTTGTTAATATTAGATTTAATTCTTGCGCAAAAAAAGTGTAAATAAATAAATATTTATCGTAAGATTTGCGATCCCTCTTAAGTAAAAAATACTTATCCCATTACCTCCAAAACAAACTTAATACCAAATTTCATAACAATGTTAAATTGAAATTTTTTAAACTGTTTCCAACAATTTCTTTTTTTTTCAACAAACAGTATTACGCGAAGCGTAAAACGCGTGACTGCATGTGTGAGTGTAATGTGTATGAATGTGTAACCGTAGGTCTCAGTAGCATTTCCAACTCTGCGTAAGGTGCGTGCTGTAGCCAGTCCTTTAACAGTTTTTTAAACTGTGTTCGGTGAGCGGGTTAAGCAGCCTATTTAATTTATTGTAGATGTAATCTGCCTGCTTATTGCGTCATTAAATTAAATTTTCTTATATGTTCAGTACTACGAATCGGTAACCCAGCGTTCTGGGGTAGCTTATCATAGAGCGCAACAGCTCCGCCCATCTACATACCATTACGTTAACCACTGAACAATCTTTGCTTGAAGGAAAATTTTGAACTTAAATATTATTTAGACACTATAAGCGCCATATATATAATTGCATGCTGTATTCAGACAATCCTCGTTCTCAAACGAGACAATGACATTCGACTGGATTCCAAAATTGAAATTCGTCTTTGTTCAACATTATACCCAGAATGCAATGAAATTGGAATATAATTTCAGGAGATTTAAACTCCCTGAGGTTTAAATTCAAATCTGGTTGAATTAAATTATTATGTTACTTTGGGATTTTCGTGTAAAATAATATGAATTCAGGCTTAAGGCTTGTTGTACTTTACATTTTAAATTAGCTATTGTAAAAGAATAAGCTAGACTAATGCCAATAGGGTCGCAAAAATTAGAATCATTTTGAAGGATGCTAAAACGAAGCAAGGTCGTAATGATTTTTAAGCTATTGCATAGATTTTATCGCGGGCTTTGAGCGCGGCGACCGAATCAAGAAATTCCGTAACGAAAATAAACCTAACACACTATGACGTAATAAAGCTGCGGCCAATACGCGTTAGAGCGGGACAGAAAGCATACTGCGTCTCACATTGGTCTGGCGTGATCGGTGACGTTTATAATTGTTATAATTGTTATGTTATGTATTGTTTTATTATTGTTAAATAATAGTTAACTGAGTCGCAAATTAGAATCATTTTTAAGGATGCCAAAACTTCAATTGAAATATCCAAGGTAATGCAGCCACCAATTTAACAGAATATGGCAGAATAAGAGTATTATAATCATGCTCGATTAGTCATTTCGAGGATATGATATATAAATAACATAATATTTATTTACTTAAACGTAAAAAAACAAGTTAATAATGTATAGGCTACAATATAGGCAATATTCATCTGCAACAAAATATTTGGTCAAAGTTATGCGC